GATTGACAGAGCAACTGTATATTGCTGATGATGAATCATTGGTTACAAAATATTTGTTTAAAAAGGCAAAAGATTTCGAATTGAATGCTTGCAGATTCAAAGTCGAATTATATTGTTGCGCGACTGAGCTTGCACTCGTTGACCTGGAAGTCTTTGTTGTTCATTGACGTCTGATCAGTGTGAGCTTTTCAAATTAGCTTTAGTTGAAAGATTATTATGGCTTACGATCACTGTTATTACGTCCCTTAGTGACGATTGCTTCTATTTTCTGTTTTTGTTTTCGATACAATATTTTCAGTTGTTTATTTTAGTTGGTTTGTTAATTCGTTCGTTAATCAGTCAAGCAAGCATTTAATTATAATGGGTTTATCGTTTATTTTCTATGAACTTGAAAAGCGAACTTAAGTTATTTCTGTAAAATAATCAACACGAACCAATAAATTTTTCTTCAGGTAACTAAGAAGAGTCGTTTCCAAGATGGTCTCCATGTTCATATCGAGGTTTCTTATTTTGACTTGTGGTACGCTATATCCGGCGTATCGGTCGTATAAAGCCGTGAAATCGAAAAATGTTCGAGAGTACGTCAAGTGGATGATGTATTGGATCGTGTTTGCGCTATTTCTGTGTGCCGAATCTCTGGGAGACATTTTTCTTGCCTTCTGGTTCCCGCTGTACTATGAGATGAAGATTCTGTTCGTCGTGTGGTTGCTTTCGCCGTACACAAAAGGTGCGTCGTTGCTCTACCGGAAATTCATCCACCCGACCCTGGTACGTCACGAAGAAGAAATTGACCAGTACCTTGATCGAGCAAAGAGGGACAGCTACCGGGCGCTGGTCAAGGTCGGCAGTAGGAGCATCATGTACGCTCGAGACGTGGTCGCCACGGCCGCTTTCAAAGGTAGTAACCGACCTCGATTATATTATTATTTTATTAAGGCTGCTGCTGAAATGATGTCATCAGCGATTCAGATTCAGGAGATGGAGGCTTCTTGTTTTTTAGGCTTTATGTTAGCACAATCGGCTTTGATCCGCACTTCTGGAAGGAAGGAGTGAAAGAATCTTTTATAATCGTTTGAAGGTCAGTCTTAAACTTTCACGAGGGAGCCATTTCTGGCACCCTTCTTTTCATGAAGTTGATGATGAGGTTATAATTTTCATTTGCTTGCGAAAAGCCAGAAATGTTCCTTCCCACACAGTGGTATACATTTATCAACCTCGGAAGGAAGAAAGGTTACCCGACCGAGACTTCTGGTTGTGAGTTCGACACTCTACCGATTAAGCGATCCCACTCGCTCTGCTGGACCATGTTTTTACGCATCCCTGATTCAGCAGCTTAATGGTATTCGATCATTGCTTTGGCAATAAAACCATGATGGCATACATGATCTTAAAATCCTGAAGTTTAAGCTTGATTGTAGACAGTATTCACTTTCCCTGTTTGCGCGTCTACTCTTTAATGCTTTTGTCTCTCCCATTCTTTCCTCATAGAAGCGCGTTCACCATCCTTAGGTATCTCATCTTCATCTCCTTAGGAATGTTCTCATGTGGAGCTTGACAGTCATAAAAATTTGTGATCAGCTAAAGTTTTCTTTTTCATTTTTGGTTCCTCAATTATTCTGCTAAGTGTCGCCTTAGTGAACCGGAAATGTAAAACTTAGTGGTCATTCTGTGGATAGCGACCGGATTTTGAATGCAAATCTTAAATGACAAGTGAAACATATTGCTTTACGGATGTTGTGTGCCTTTCCTGATAGGTACCCTTTTCAGCCAACATTCGACCCTCTTTTTCAGTCGTTTCTATCCACCAGTTGTGATTTACATTTGGGCGGAAATTTGTAATAATACTCGATTATATTTGTATTTGTAAGTGAATCCTTTCTATCTTGTTGTTTTTTGTTTAGGTCAAGCGCAGTTGGTCAATCAGCTGAGAAAAAGCTGTAGCCTTGGCGACGTTTATGCGACGAGTGATGCTCAGTTGGTGTTTCAGGACGTGAGCGACGGGGACTTTGCCCCGGCGCGGCGGCGCAACGATGACGTCGATGATCGTCCGACAGCCAACTACAAGGAGCAGGGAGAGGAGTTTTACGACGAGGAAGACGGAACACAACTGATCGACAAAGAGTTTCAGTACCTTTACGAGGCGTCCGAGGAGGAGGCCGGTGCAGCAGGGGTCAAGAAACGACAGCCGCCAGATGGGGGCGCTACCAGAACGAGGCGAGCGACGAAGAAAGCCACATCAGGGGCAGCTACTCTGCCTCGCCGTGCGTCCAAAGCTAACAAAGCGAGTTGAGCCTACGGAAGATCGAAAAGCGAGCGTTGAGGTCGCTGTATTTTTGAACCGAAAAAGTTTTTATCGTCGTCGTCTTACTTCCTCAATCTGCGCTCATTCATCTTACCGTATGGCAGCCTTGACGCAGGAAGAAGATGACGAGGTCTCGATATGAAGCAGTTCATTGGCACCCGGTAGCCATGTCGTTTCGTCGTCGTCGTCGTCGTCGTCGTCGTCATCATCGTCATCGTCTTGTATTTAGCCAGTCAGCTATGCTTTGCTTAGCAGTGTCCCTGTCACTTGTTTTTTGAAATGTGTTAGATCACGTTTTCTGACGTTTGTGCCTTTACTTTACCGTATTTGTTGTTTTCGATAGATCTTGTGCATTTTATAGTCTTTTGGCGTATTTTGGCCGTTGTTGCTGGATACTCTTTAACGTTTTCTTTAGCATGACTTAAATTTGAATAAACCTTTGCGCCGTGTCTCCGTTATTACTGCCGTTTAAAGCATGGTGCCATTGTCTCCATGCTTCGGCTGTACGTTTCTGCGTGAATATATATTGCATTTAGTACCAGTACATTTTTGTTTCGTCCTGATTGAATCTAATTAGCAGTGATATCGGAAATTAATTTTGCTTGTAGTATAGTTTAAAAACGTTATCACATTCCTTTCTAGCACTAGATTAGTAGTAACCAAATTAAATAATAACTTAATATAAAATAAATGTTTGCTATGTATATAGGGAGTAGATGGCTATAGGAACTAACAGCTTTCACATGTTAGTCAGATCTCATCGGATTTCTGTTGTTTTCTCGTTAACTGTTGCATTGCACATTATCATAGGCTGATCAGTATTACAAAGTAAATTGTGAAATCACGAACAGTTATTTAACTGTTGTTTGATGTTTATTATAGTTAAATCTATTTCTGGCATTAGATCGGTAATAACTAGTTGACATAACAATCTGTATAGTCAGATAGGGAATGTATAGTACACGATTATAAAGTAACGTTTTTAGTCATATACCGGCTACATATATTGTATGATTTAAACCCATTGCATTGATGTTCATCCTCGGTATTCTAGGCTAGCGCATTTTTGAATTAACCAGCGTAACTATATGTTTAAAGCATGTTTATGGCTATACTGGTATTTACCTGCTTGACCTAATTCAATGTATTCTTTGAGACTGTAATCCTTTCATCAGAAATTACTCCTCATTTATAAATGCGTAATTAGTGCAGTTAAATGTTTCTCCACCTTCAGGGTTTCTCAGAAAATTGTTTTGACTGAACATTCGGCATATCAGTCTTCGTGATCTATATCAGATGTGTTTTCAACCTTTATCCAGACATATGAACTCAGAATATATGCACTTTGTGACGTCTTGCTCAAAACAAGTAGTGTGTTATACGAAACGTCACTGCCTCAGCGTACCGTAGCGATACTTAGGCCCGTCAGAAGCTGAAGAAGGTCTAATAATGACTTCGTTAGAGCGACGAGAGCCACTGCTTTTCTCGCCACTGGGTCTGCTGCCCTTGTATTTTAGTACCCAGTCGAATCTGGCTAGAGACGTTTTTAGTTGTTTTCTATTATACTCTGCATGCAGAGCTGTGCTATGGCAGATAAACACAGAGCAATGAAAAAGATTAGAAGTGAGAGCGGTTGATGTTGTGCCGAACTTGTTTTGGACTAACCCATCTAGTTTTGTATTTAGCAGACTGACCAGTGGTTATGGCTAAAGTGGTGCCGTTGGATGATCCTTCGTTGCATCGCTTGGAAGGCCTGCACGAAACGCGAGGTGGATTGATCGTAAAGCGGGAGAAACGCTCTGCAGATGAGTCGGCGACGTCCGGCCAACGCACGTCGCTGTTAGGCCTTGACAAACTGGCAGAGATCAAGCGCGAGAAGAAGCTCCGTGAAGAACACGAACGTTACAGCCACAATAAACGCTTGTCCCGCCATTACCGTGAAAAATACGACGAAACCCCGGGCCAAAGTGTCAGCGACAGCGTCAGACAGTGCATCGTGAAGTAAGTGATCTGAGTACGTGTGTGATGATCGTGTGTCACCCAGAGCATGCGTGATTTTGTTCATTTCCACTTGTTAACACTCCTTTATTTCCACTTGTTAACACTCCGGATTTCGTTTCCAATGGTAAAGGATAAAAATGAAACCAGGCTATTAATTTATTGCGCATGTTCATAACAAAAGCCGACCGTGTAACGAATGTACGCGCTCGTATGGTTTAGCGCTTGATTACCATGGGCGAACTTGTTGGAAAGAATTAATGAAACAAAGGATGCTGTTCATCGAAATATGATACATAACTGTTTTTAATAATATTGTGCTTTTTTCATTTGTATATTATTACCTTGATAATGACACAGATGTGCGACGATACATTGTCATGTAAGATTTTGTATTATCCTTTTTGATCTAAGTAAGCTAATGTGATTAATCTAAAATTTGATTCTGATATGGTAAAGTGAGGTGATGTTCAGCAGCTCAGAAGTCGAGTAGCTCAGTATTTAAATGGTTCAGTAATTCAATATTTCAATAGTTCTTTAGTTCAGCTGAGTGTAGATCATTATTTTGGAAGTTATGCAGATAACAAGATTTTTAAAGTTGTAAATTTGCTTTAAAGTTATGAGTTGTTTTAAATTTTTGCCTCATTGTTCTGTTTTTATGTGTCGGTATGACTCAGAATATTGTGTGGTTCATAATGCGTTTGTTAAAAATATTAAGGGTGATTTTATTTCTTCGATTTAGATCGTTTGTAGGTATCCTTTCTTTGAGGAGACTTGTCTGCAAGCCACTTGATCAGTCTTTTCGTGTTAGATTTATATTTTCAGGGTGCATGACAAGTCATCACACCGACACACCGAAACTACATCTAACTATACTTCGATAATGGTTAGGATAGTTAACTCCAAAACTAGGTAGTATCCAGTACCTCATGACTTTAAGGCATTTCTAGATTTTTCTGTTATTTAGGTTACAGATAATAGATTTTTTCATGTACGTGGAAATAGCGTTTGATGAGGTTTAATGAAGTAATTACCAAAATAATAATAGTTTTCGCTGAACCTGTTCAGTGGTGTCAAAACAGGAATTAAAGTAAGTCTACATCGTACATGAAATAATGTTCATGTTATTAATAAAGTAAGCCACGCATTCAGAAGGGTGACATTCGAAGGATAGCATTGTATAGTAACGTCGTCAATTTGAGTACAATTTGTAATTGAAAGTTAAATGGAAAGTTAAAACGTTCCTGAATGCTTGTTTCAGTTAATGTTCTGATTATACTCCTTTTAGCTATATCGAAAAGAAGTACCACGACGGAAAACGTGGCATCGAAGCATGTACCTCATCTAAGAAGCACTCGAAGAAAGGTCGCGAGGACCGTGAAAGCAAACACGAATTTAAAGAGCCTTTGACGCCCTTCTTCAAGGTGCCAAATACGCCATCATGTTCAACGTGGGAAGATGACGACTTGGCTCGCGGCAGACAGGGGGGAACTTGGGATGTTCGAACTCCGAACGTGGTTTCTGGCGGCGGCAGTGTTGGCAGCCGACGGTCAGGCTCCGAGAGTGCGCGTAGCATTTCCAGTTGTTGGCGAAGCGAACGTAGGAACGACCACGGTCGCTATGGAGGGCGTCACCCGGCGGCGTCGATGACTCCGTCTTTGCGCGATGAGAACGAGATCACGTTTCTCAGCGAGTTCGAACAGAAGGAATGGGAAGAGGACCAAAAAAGGCTTGATCGTGAATGGTTTGCAGCTTTTTTTATTGTTATTTTAGCACGCTATAAAGGCGGACATTTGAAAAGTCTATGAGCTTGATAGATTTCAGGTTTCGAGGTCTCCCCATAATTATTTAGCGGAAATTATTAGTGTAATAAACATTATATTCCTCTGTACCGTCCAAGCGTAATATAAATTATGCTTTATGACAGTAAATAAGTTCTGATACTCGAATGGCAGGTTTAACATACCATTGAATAACGAAGCGTTTAATACGGAAATCGATTGTGATTAAGGTAATCACGCTACTCTGGCTTTGCTAGCAAACTGCCAGTTTTCGAAATGGATGCCTTAGAATTTGTAAATTTTTTTTTTACGATTTACTGTCTCGTTTGGAAAAGAAGACGCAGAACGCCATAGCACAACTATACTACTGTGCTGTTGACGGGAGCCTGGTGGCGATTAAGTACTCGCCATTGGTTTCTGCAGGATGAAATTTCTCTTGGCCAGCTGAACAATGTTTCACCACCAGTGGTTGTTATGTCCATCACTCGAGATAATGGACTTAGGTGACCACGTCATCGAACTGTATCACTGTTCATCACCGATATTTGGAGTGTACATAGCAAATCTAGCTGATGATTATTTTCACGGCACTGGCAATGAGAAAGATGACGAGGCTAACGATGAAATGCGAAATGTTTTCCCGGGAACCATGATCTGCTCAAAAATTTTAAAATTTACCTGTTACATTGTTAACAGCTGACAAATATGCAGTTAAAAGTCATTTCGAAAGAAAATCTTTCACTTTCTTTTCTGAATGGAGCTACTGATGTTAGTAAAATGATTTTATTCGAAAAGTGACGGTTTCAGACATTGACGCTCTGTTCTGAGAGTCACAGTGGGTGGAGTAAAATATGTACCTTCGCTGCGCTATTGTTACTACGCTAAGCTAGATACCATCAAACAGAGAACTGTCACTCAGATAAGATGGATGGTCGAAACCCGAGCTTCCGTTTCTGCTAATGAAGAATATCAACGGAGCTTCGGGTTTATTACGAATTACCAGGAGTCCCGTTTGCGATGCGTTTCAGGAATAAGTTATTCATGTGCCATGGATGGAATATATCATGGTAGCGTTTAGCTAATAGCATAGCATATGATGCTGGTACTGCGTCGGTTTCTAAATTTGATGTTGACATACGACAAACATGATTCATACATACATGCGTTCATGTGTTTGTGCATGTTTCATTTATTCGCAACGATGTGACC